AATAAATTTTAAAAATCTTAAAAAAAAAAAAAAAAAAAGAACAGAGGAAAGGTAATTCTTACCCGTCCTGAAGGGTCACAGAGGGAGATTTCCTCGGGCAGTTCAGGGCTCCCCTCTATGGTCACAAAATGGCTATAGGAACTTCAAGCTTCACAATTCAAAAATCATCCAGAAAAAAACAAGGTTCTTCTGATCTATCTACTTGTCCTGGCATCTCTTATCTGTTGGTTCTTGGCCCAAATGGTCTCATCCCCATTCTTGTACCCATCACAGGGGCTGAAGGTGGAAATACTGACAGAGTTAAACCTATTTGGGTGTACTCCTAGAGCTGTGAGTGGTGTCTTTCTACACAGTCACATGGTTAGGGGATCCCTGGGTGGCTCAGCAGTTTAGTGCCTGCCTTTGGCCCAGGGCATGATCCTGGAGTCCCGGGATCGAGTACCATATCGGGCTCCCTGCATGGAGCCTGCTTCTCCCTCTGCCTGTGTCTCTGTCTTTCTGTGTGTGTGTGTGTGTCTTTCATGAATAAATAAATAAAATCTTTAAAAAAATCACATGGCTAAACAGGAGGAAGAAAATATCTTCCTCCTTCACCTACAAGAGGTAAAATGAAAATGTAACATGGACAAAACAAAACAAAAAAAACCCTTACATCCCTAAAAAAAATTAAGACTGTGCTAGAAATACACTTATGGACAAGACCATGCATTAACTAGAAAAAAAAAATCAAGTCACAAAACAAATTTTTTAGCACTATTCTATGTCTTTTAAAAAAATGATTTCTCTTTAAAATAGGGTACATAAAAGAATGCTAAAAAATAATAGGCTGTAAGAAACTTTTATTCTTGATGCTTTTCTTAATATTTTGGCTTTTCTATTCAACAAACATATATCACTTATAGACTGCATATTTAAAACAGTTTTAAACATACTTTTTTCCTTTAGCATCATTATTATCCTCAATATCAATATACAGATTTTAAGACATATATATATTTCTATAGCATTGTTTAAGATGAATTTTGTTGAAACATCTCCTGTTGGTATTATTATCTCAGTAGCTTATGCCATTCTACAAGAGATCCCCTCTAGAAAAGCATATCTTCCCTAAGAAAAGTGAAACCCAGGAGTACCTGGGTGGTTCAGTCAGCTAAGCATTGGGGTTGTGATTTCAGCTCCAGTCATGATCTCATGACTCTGAGATCAGGCTCTGCATTGGGCACGTAGCCTGCTTAAGATTCTCTGTCTGCCCCTCTCTGAATAAATGAATAGATGATAGATAGATAGATAGATAGATAGATAGATAGATAGATAGATAGATAGATAATAAGAAAAATGAAACCCAGATCTTGGTAGCACTTAAAAGAGAATCTTCTCATGGGAAGAGGTCATGAGGCAATCATCCCACCTTCCTTCCCCTGGGAGTTGCCTCACCTGTTGTTCTGTGGCCTTTAACACTTCTGCCCATATTCAAAATAAACATCTTCATCTTGTTACCTCTTTGCATAGCCGAAAAAACATGTTGAACTTTTTACAAATGATATAAAAGAATTTACTAATGGATGAGGAATTAGGAAAAATAAATAAGCTTAAATGACAATGATTCCATTACGTATGCCATGTTCTTGGGGGAACATAGATGGGAGCTCAAACAAATGAAACCATCTAGAAACAAGAGGGCTGCATCCTACCTCCTAGATCCATCCCAGCTTTCTACTGGATTCCTTTTCTCTTTTCTTAATTGAACCATAATTGACATATATTTGTTTCATGTATATAACACAGTGATTCAACAGTTGTATTCTTTGCAGACTGATCGCCATAATAAATCTCATACCAACTGTCATCACACAAAGTTAATGCAATATTACTGACTGTAATTCCCATGATGTACGTACATCACATCCCCATGGCTTGCTTACTTTATACCATGGCTTACTTATTTATAAATGGAAGTTTATACTCCTTGATCCTCTTCACCTATTTCACATACCCCCAAACTCCCTCCTTTCTGGCAACCACACTCTGTTCTCGGTATCTCGGAGCCTGGGTTTTGTTTGTTTTGTTTTTATGTTCCATTCATAAGTGAATTATGTGATATTTGTCTTCCTGTGTCTGATCTGTTTCACCTAGCATAATACCCAATGGATATATCTTGACTATTATAAATAATGCTGCAATTAAGAGGTCCATGTATCTTTTCAGAGTAGTGTTTTTGTTTTCTGTGGATAGGTACCAAGACATAAACTGCTGGATCACAAAGTACTTCTATTTTTTATTTTTTGAGAAGCCCCCTTGATGTTTTCCTTACAGGCTGCTTGGTGCATTCCTACCAACAATGCATGAGTCTCTCTTTTCTCTACATCCCTACCAAGAGTTATTTTCTTATCTTTTTGATATTAGCCATTCTGACAGGTGTGAGGTGATATCTCATTGTGGTTTTGATTTGTGTTTCCTCAATGATTAATGATACTGAGCATCTTTTCAGATGCCTGTTGGCCATCTGTAGGTCTTCTTGGGGAAATTGTCTGTTCAGGTCCATTTTAAAATAAGATTTTTTTTTTATTTGAGTGCTAGAAGTTCTTTATATATTTTGGATATTGACACTTTATCTGATATTTAATTTGCAAATATCCTCTTCCATTCAGTAACTTGCCTTTTGGTTTTGTTGATGGTTTCCTTCACTGTGGAGAAGGGTTAGTCTCATGTGCTTATTTTGCCCTTTTGTTTGTTTTGTAGACCTTACCTTTGGAGTTGGATAAAGGAAAATAATTCTAAAACTGATGCTAAGGAATTTACTATCTATGTCTTCTTCTAGGAGTTTTATGGTTTCCTGTCTTACATTCAAGTCCTTAATTCATTTTGAGTTCATTTCTGTATGTGGTGTAACTTTCATTACATGCATGATATATGGTCCAGTTTCATTCTTTTGCTTATAGCTGTCAAGTTCGTCAAACACCATTTATTGAAGAGATTGTCATTTCCCCATTGTATATTCTTGCCTCCTTTCTCAAATATTAACTGATCACATAAGCATAGGTTTATTTCTGGGCTTTCTATTTTGTTCCATAAATCTGTGTGTCTTATAATATGTAGATGGGTCTTGTACCAGTACCATGCTGTTTTGATCACTACAGCTTTGTAATATATTTTGAAATCTGTCACTATGTTACCTCCAGCTTCATTCTTTCTCAGGATTGCTTGGTTGGTTGGGATCTTTTGTGGTTCTGAATAAGTTTTGGGGAGTACTTGAGTGGCTCAGTAGTTGAATATCTGCTTTTGGCTCAGATCATGATCCCAGGGTGCTGGAATCAAGAGCCCTGCATCAGACTCCGACCACAGGGAGCCTGCTTCTCCCTCTACCTATGTCTCTGTCTCTCTTTGTGTATCTCTTGTGAATAAATAAATAAAATCTTAAAAAATATATAAATAGATAAGTTTTTAGATTATATTTTCTAGTTCTGTGAAAAATAGTATTGGTATTTTGATAGGGATTGCATTAAATCTGTAGAATGCTTTAAGCAGTATGGACATTTAAACTACATTAATTATTTCCATCCATGAGACTGGTACATCTTTCCATGTGTGTAATCTTCAGTTTCTTTCTTTTTTTAATTAATTTTTTTTATTGGAGTTCAATTTGCCAACATATAGCATAACACCCAGAGCTCATCCCATCTTCAGTTTCTTTCATCAGTGTTTTATGGTTTTCAGAATGCAGGTCTTTCACCTCCTTAGTTAAGTTTATTCCTCGGTATTTTATTCTTTTTGGTGCAGTTGTGAATGGCATTGTTTTCTTAATTTATCTTTCTGCTACTTCATTAGTAGTATATAGAAATACAACAGATTTCTGTATATTAATTTTGTATGCTACAACCTTACTGAATTCATTTATTACTTCTAATAGTTTTTTTGGTGGATTCCTTAGGGTTTTCTATTCATAGTATCATGTCCTCTGCAAATACTGACAGTTTTACTTCTTCCTTACCCATTTGGATGCCTTTTATTTATTTTTTCTTCTCTGATTGTTGTAGCTAAGACTTCTAGTACTATGGTGAGTAAAAGTGGTAAGAATGAACATCCTTGACTTGTTCCTGATCTTAGAGGAAGCACCCTCAGCTTTTCACCATTGAATATGATTACCTATGAGTTTATCATATATGACCTTATCATGTTGAGGTATGTTCCCTCTAAACCTACTTTGTTGAGAGTTTTCATAAAGAATGGATGATGTTAAAAAAAAAAAAGAATGGATGATGAATTTTGTCAAATGTTTTTTCTCCATCTTATTGAGATGATCACATAATTTCTATCCTTTATTTTGTTAATGTGGTGTTAGCACATTGATTGATTTGTGGTATTGAACCATACTTGCATCCCTGGAGTAAATTCCACTTGATCATGGTGAGTGATCCTTTTAATACACTGTTGAATGCTATTTGCTAATATTTTTTTAATTAGAAAAATTATTTATTTCTGCTCCTTTCATACATCTTATTGTGCAGAAACAGTCTCACACATATCTGAATAATGTACTGTCACACTGTTTAAAGGCAAAGCACCATAGGTAAAGCTGATCAGAGTTCTCAGCTTATGGGATCTCGCTCCCTGATTTTACATTAATTTTTGAAAGTCAGAAATGTCATCTCCACAAAATGTTAAGGGGGCTGTAAGAAATAATCACTTTATTCAATATTATAGTTGTGGAAATGGGAGTATATTTTCTTTAAGAAATGAAAAACTGAGAAGAAAATACCACTAAACATCATTGGTGTGTCAGTACAGGCCAGCAGGAGAAATACTGTGGGAAGTTTGTCTCTTTGATACCAAGAAGACATTCTAGTTCAAGCTTTAATATGATTCCTATTTCTCACGAGATGCTTCTTTTCTGCTGCTTCACTCTTTTTCCATATTTCACATCAGAGGATTGGTACAGCCTTTAAAACTACATTAACAGGAGCAAATCCAATATCCACAGATTTCTTGTCAAAAGACATTTTTTAACCCATCAAGTAGCCTGGCAGTTTCATTCTCATGAATACTCTAGCCATGAAAAAACTCAATAGGACACAGACGAATCCAATGAATAGAAGAAGAAATCTATTGAGTTTTGGAATGTTTGGTGCATTCGATTGGTCCAGGATTATGAAACCTAAACCTCCCATTGTAAACAGGAAGCTGGATGCAAGTCCTTCCATAATATATTGTCCATTTACTCTGTAGGACAAGAAAGCTACTGGTCTCTGATGTCCATGTTCATCAGTCATAGAACCAACACTTGGAGGTTCAACAATAACATCATAAATTATTCCTCCGGTGATGAGGAAGTAAGACACCACCACCAGAGCGTACACCGTCATGGCCGACGGCATGTGCACCCAGGGCAGCTTCTTCAGCTTCAGGTTGGGGCATTCGAGCACTAAGAACAGGACGCGGTACGAGGTCTCCATGTTGGTGGCAGCAGGGGTTTCTCTCTCGACCTGTTTGCTAATATTTTGTTGAGGACTTTTGCATCTATGTTCACCAGGAATATTGGCCTGTAGTTTTCTTTTTTTGTAGTGTCTTTGTCTGGTTTAGGTATCACGATATTGCTGGCCTCATACAATGTGTTTGGCAGCTTTTCTTTCTCTTATTTTTTGAAATAGTTTCATACTATTATAGTTAGAAAAGATGTTTGATATGATTTCAATCTTCTTAAATTTATTGAGACTTGTTTTGTGGCCTGACATATGATCTATCCTGGAGAATGTTTCATGTGCACTTAAAAAGAGCGGGTATTCTGTTGTTTTCAGATGGAATGTTCTGTGTATGTCTAAGTTCATATGGTCTAATGTGCTGCTGGAAGACTCTGTTTCCTTATTGATTTTCTGCCTAGACGATGTATCCATTGATACAAGTTGGGTGTTAAAACCCCCTACTATTATTGTATTACTGTCAACTCTCCCTTTATGTTCATTGATATTTGTTTTATGGATTTAGGTGCTATGATGTTGGGTGCATAGATATTTACAATTGTTATTTCCTCTTGTTGGATTGCTATCTTTATCATTATATAATGTCCTTTTTGTCTCCGTTACTGTCTTTGTTTTAAGGTCTATTTTGTGACTGATACCTCAGCTTTATTTTCACTTTATTTTGCATGGAATATCTTTTTCCATTCCTTCACTTTCAGTCTGCATGTGTGTTTAGGTCTGAAATGAGTGTCTTCAGATAATATATGGATGGGTCTTGTTTTGTTGCCATTTCATCACCCTGTATCTTTTTGATTGATTTAGACTATTTACATGTAAAGTAATTGTTGATAGGTATGTACTTATTGCTACTTTGTTCATTGTTTTCTGATTGTTTTCATATTTCTTCTCTGATCCTTTCTTTATCTCTTGCTCTCCTTGCTTGTGATTGATGACTTTCTTTATTATAGGTTTTTGGGTTTGTGGTTACCATGAGATTTATATATAACATCCTAAGTATATAGCTGTACATATTAAGTTGGTGGTCACTTAATTTGAACACATTTTAAAAGAACTTCATTTGAACTGCCCCCTCCTTGTTTTATGTATATGTTTTAATATTTTACATCTTTTTATTTTGGAGTCCCTTTAACTAACTTTTTAGATACAACTGATTTTAATATTTTTGTCTTTTAACCTAGTATAAAGCTAGTATAGTTTTATACGTGTTTGCTCTACTGCCTTTACTGTATGCTTGCTCTACTCATGAAATTGTTTCCTTTCTTAATTTCTTGCTGCTAATTATGGCCTTGGCCATTAAAAGAAGTTCCTTTAAAAATTTTGTAGGGCTAGTTTAGTGGTGATTAACTCTTTTAACTTTTGTTTGTCTAGAAACTCTGTATCTCCTTTAATTCTGAATGATCACCTTACTGGGCAGAGTATTCTTTATTGGGATTTTATTTATTTATTTTAATTTATTTTAGTACTTTGAGTATGTCATGCCACTTTCTTCTGGCCTGCAAAGTTTCTGATGAAAACTCTGCTAATAGCACTGTGGTATTGCCCTTGTATGTAATAAGTTTTTTTCTCCTTTATCTTACTGCTCTTAAGATTCTCTCTTTATTAGTAACTTATAACATTTTAATTATAATGTGCCTTAGTGTGGGTCTTTTGGGATTTCCTCTGGGTTTCCTAGACCTGGATTTCTGTTTCCTTCCCCTGACTAGGGATGTTCTGAGCCAAGATTTTTTTCAAATAAGTTTCCTGCCTATTTTTCTTTCTTCTCCTTCTGGAACCCCTATAATGGGAATATTATTCCACTTTATGTTGTCCTATAGGTCCTTTATGGTATTTTCTTTAATTTTTTTCCTTTTTCTTTATTGGGATGAGTTCTATTGTTTCATTTTCCAGCTCACTAATTTGTTCTCTTTCTTCCGATTTGCTATTGAACCTGTCTAGTAAATTTTTCAGTTTAGATATTGTATTCTTCAGCTCTGTTACATCTGTTTTGTTCTTTCTTATCTTTTCTCTTTGTTGAAATTCTGTGTTCATTCTTTCTTCTCCCTAGTTTGATGAGAATCTTTATGACCATTGCTTTGAACTCTTTTGGGTAGATTACTTACCTCCATTTCATTAAGGTCTTTACTAATACTTTGTTGGTCTTTTGTTTAGAACACAAAAGTCCTCTGTCTTCTTGCTTTGCCTGTTTCTGTATGTTTGTATTAGGTGATCAATCTCTCTCTCCCAACACTGAAGGAATGGCCTTGTGTAAGAGATGACATGGGGCCCAGGATTGCAATCCTTACTACCAGAGCCAGGTGCTCCAGGGATATCCCTTGTGTGGACTGTGTATGCTAGCCAGCTGTGGGAGGGCTGTGGCTACAGGTGCAGGGGGTGGGTCACTTGCCCAGCTGTGGCACAGCTGGAGCACCAAAGAAGAAGGGTAAGGACCTTGCCCAGCCAACTGTGCTGTAGCTGGACCTTAGAGGGCTGAGGGCAATCCACCTGTGCTAATGGGTTAGATGAAAAGTCTCAAAATGGCTTCCACCAGCACTGGGATTAGAAAGGTAGAATGAAATTGCAAAGAAAACAAACAAGTGTCTAGCAGTGCTTCCATCCCTGGAGAGAATCCTAACAGGGTTTTAACTCTCTAGCCATCACTTTAAGATTAGTGACTCTACTTCACATATAGTTTAGGCAGTTTTCAAATTGCTGCTTTGGCATTGGTTCTCAGGGTGAGTTATTGTTGTAATCCTTTATGAGTGTATTCTCCATTCCTTACAGTTCTATGTTTCTCCTGGACATCATTTCTATTGGTTTTATGTTTGGAGAGGACTGTCTCTCTGACACAGGACTTAAAAGCTGGGGTCCTGGAGTGCCTAGGTGACTCAGTCAGTTAAGCAGTCAGCTCTTGGTTTCTGCTCAGGTCATGGTGTTAGGGTCATGATCACAGTGCTGTGAGATCAAGCCCCATGATGGGCTCTTCACTCAGTGTGGTTTCTGCTTGTCCTCCTCCTTCCCCTTCCCCTTCCCCTTCTGCTCCTCTCCCAGGCATTCTCTCTCTCTCTCTCAAATAAATAAAGTCTTTTTTTTTTTTAAGTTTGTTTGTGAGAAACAAACCCCCATTCCTCATGGAGTGGTTCCATATTTTTGACATTTCTCCCGATGGTGTGTTGCCACACCTGGGTAAGAGTGTTTCTCTGCCTCTCCTATTTTAATGTGGCCCTTTTATTCTTTGCTATGCAGGTGTCAGTCATTTAGTTTTTAGGACTTTTTAGAGGAAATTATTTCAAATATATCTGTAGATTTGTTGTGTCTATGGGAGAAGGGGGGTTCAGGATCTCCATACACCGCCTTCTTGAACCACCTCCTTCCTATTCTCTTTTTGAGAAAGAGATAAAGAGTTTTTACAATGTATTAATCAATATCTTGGTTATAAGAATGGTTTCTGCATAGACCCCAGATTGTCAACAGAAGTATTTATTTTATTTATGCTGGCTCCTTTTTGGGGATGATAAATAAAAGAGTAAAATCATGGTTCCTGCTCTCAGAAGCTTACCATTTCTGGTGAGATATCCAACAAATGCCTGGAATTCATGTCAGAAAACCAAAAAAGAAATATGTAAAAGCTTTCCATTTATCATTTGGCTAATAGTTGGATGGTCTACTTCCTTCACCACTGCTTCCTCAAATCATAACTGACCCTTAAAAACAAGCTGTATTGGTCACCCTCTTTCAGGAATCCTTCTCTGATCCCCTCTCCAACACCATAGAACTCCTTTTCTTCTGAACTACCAGCATATACTGTGCTTCTCCTGGTGGACATTTCACAGTTTAATACAATGATTCTTCACTGGGTTAAATAATTCTTCACTGGGCTATGCTTCCCTCCAAAAAGCATAAAATAATAGCAACAAAACAATAAATGTCCTTTATTGAGAACCTATAAACTGGACATTATAATACATCCTTTCATAGTAACTCATTTAGTGATAGTAATTATGAGTTTCAAAACGATTGTGTAGTTCATCAAAGTCACACAGGTAGTAGAAGACCCCATATTTTAAGCCATATATGTTTTATTTCAAAGGCCCTGATTTGAATTACTGATGCCTTTTGATAATTTTCAAACTATTTCCCATATCCCCTTCTCCTCCCACTCCACCAGCCTGGAATGTGACCACTTCATCATGTTCACATACTTTTGTCAACCAATGGTGAATCCTTGGGATTGGTGACAAGGTGTTAGATACATCCTTATCAGATGCTGAGGTGAAATAATATTGAGAACCGTCTTTTTGATCCTATTTATTATCTCTCCCGGATTTGTTACCCTTGTAAGAAAGAAACTATTTTCTTTATCTATCTGCTGCCTTCCCCATATAACATCAATCAGTATGTGCCCTAGAACAATGTTTTGCTTCTATCATTTCTGTATAAGTTTTTAAATAGCATTTTTGAATAAAGAATACGGAGTAGATTATATAAGTGAAAATAATACAAGATATGAGGGATGACTTTGTTTTAGGTAAAGAGGCTTCCTGGAAGGTGACATTTTTCATTTCTTTTGGCTGTGAGGACCTTGACTTAGCAGAGGTGAAGGTTAAAGGCAGTCTAGTTTAAGAGAATTGCATAATGGTCTGAAGTAAAACATTCCTTGATGCTGAAGAGAAATGACAATGCTGATAGATTTTCTACAGCTATAGAACAGATGAGCAAGAAAGCTTAATTCTGGGAATTTCTGTTTTCTATCCCAGGGATTATTCCTTGGGCCATTATCACTTCAGTGGATGAAGGTACTTGCTAAAAATAAGCTACTAATGTTTTCCTTAGAATTAAAGCACACGTCAGAAGAGACTAATGACCCAATGCTGTACTGTTTTCTTTTCATTTCAGTTGGCCTCAAACAAATAAACCTGATAAATATTATCAGAGTCACATATGCTCATTAAGGGTTATAGTCAGTGGCTATGTTTGTTTTACTGTGTAATAGATGATGA